AACCCAAACATTCGTTACGGATAACATTGATCCCTGACGCCAACTTGGCGAACTATTATTTATTATATTTTGTTTTCTTCACCACATGTTTATTAACACATGACAACTTGAGTAATGACTCATGGAGCGATGAATAAAATTTTTTTATATATATATTTGTAATTGAGAAATAGTTTGGTAACCTTTTATGTTGACATTACGCTTGGCGATAATTACAGATAAGTTAAATGCGGTAAGAAATGTTGACAGGAAAAATTTAACAAAAATTTCTTTCCATGTGCTAAAAGTAAATTTTGTTAATGATACTCATAGGCCAAAAGATTACATTTAGCACTATTTGAATTAAGAATAACTGATTTGTTATTCACGTGAATCCAGAACCAGCACCAGTGTTCACATGGACGCACCGGGTGGCAGAATTTAGGGAAGACAAAGGGAGGCTCCTTAGTAGCAGAATTTAGTAGCTACAGAGACTGCATCAGGTGAAGATATCTAGCGTCGGCCCTCAATAAGCCTAAAGTATTTATAGGAATTTATTTATTTAGGACTCAGATAAGCGTTAAGCATGTGCAAGAAATAGGCGTAAGTATAATAAATAACTAAACTAATACAATTCAGGCTTAATTGCCATAGTGCGCGATAGAAGCTAGATAAAATTTAGTGGAACAACTTGTCTTTAGTCCTCAATCTCATAATACATAGTCAAATATGTATAGTGAACGATAGCTAAATTTTATGATCATAGCCGCGAATCTGAAGGGTTTCAGATATCACAAACCAAAGGTAAAATTTTCCAGTTAACGGATTTTGTAAAGATATGTGGAGAAGCGGTAATAAGGGAATATAAAAGAAGTTTTTCACTGTGATGACAATGCTCCTCAATCATCAATCAGTTACCGGATGGCAAAATCTGTAGTATGATTCTAAATCCAGAAAATACAATCACAGACAGAGAGACAAACAAATTTCGATTGACAAGTTAGTCGAAACTCTAGACACAGCAATTACAGGACTTCAACAATGGAACTTTGTAACTGAATAAGAAATTATGTCTATCTATAGAATTAAAGAGAAAGTATTAGCACAAAAATCGAAGCAACTTAGACAAAGTTGAAAGAAATGTTTGATAAAGTAAAAAAATAAATATTAAGCTTTTTTTTGGTAAATTTTATAACCCTTTAGATCATAAATGCTTCATTATTTCATAAATCACGATTTCATATTTTTAATTTTATTATTTCTACATGTCATCTTACAAGATTTAAACTGATGATCTAATATCCGGAAAAATCCCAAATCTGGAGTCGCGTATGGCCCGACGAGTAAGGATCTGGGACTTTGTACTATATAATTTTTTGAGGGCATAAATACTATCTTTGGTTTAATACTTTTCATATAAATAGACATGATTTGAAAATTCTCATGATTTGAAATTTTACACATGCGTGTTTACATGCCTGTTGGGCAGCTGAGTGTTGGGTAATTGTTTGTCTTGCAGATGGCATCAGGTCACCCAGTTGTCCTGCAACTGAGTGTCGAGCAAATGTACCAGACCCCTTTTTTTAAGCTAAGCCATTGAATGTGTTAATATTCTCATTGATTACCATATAAAACTCATTATTTTCTTAGATATTAAAAAATATGGTTGTTAATTCATAAAAGTTTCACAAACATGAAAATGAAATCTTATTATTTTCACATAAAATTTTTTAAAATGCCAGAAAAATGTACTAACGCACATGTAAACTGCCTAGCGTTAGATAGTGGGAATATTAACTATTAATTGTAAATAGTTTAACATGTTTTTGAAATACATGATCGTTTGTTTAATATGTTAAATGCGTTATAGCTCAGCGTTTTCTCATAATTTTGAAATTGCTGAAACTTTTCTGTAAAGAAGTAGTTGACATCTGTTCACAGACCCCGTACATTAGATTTCAGAGCATACATAATCTGTGGTCACCTTTAAATGATGCTTATATATTACACAAATTTTGATTCTATAATTATATTTTATATGAAATTAATTTGAATAAACATATAAACTTGTTTCAGTTCTCCTTAAACTTCATATAATATTAAGCTTAAAGAAAACTAATGTAAGGAATATCTCAATATCTTGAACACAGATGAAATGCTTGTATTTCACGCATGCAATAGCACAAAATTCAGAAGTTTAATAATGCAGGGTATGACATTTTCAACTTTTGACTTGTTTTTACAAAATGTATGTTAAAGTATATTACAAGGAATAGTAATAAAATTGTAATCAGGGTAATTATCACAAACTTTATCCTGGATTTTTTTTAATGCACTGTCATTTTCTATTGTCAAACATGGGGTTCCATCTGTTGTTATATTTATTTTGTTCCATAATGAATTATATCTTCTTAGATCATTTTTAACTTTTTCAAATATGTCAATCTCCATTGTTGGTCTTTAAGAGATTCCATTAAAAAGAACTCTTCAATAATTAAAAATTTAGAGATACACCCATGTTTAAAAATTAATAACTGATTAATGCCTGTTTGGTCATTACTTTCATTGAGAACTCTCGTGTACCATGCTATGAACTCGAGCATAATCATTGCTGCCTTCACCTTTACATTTTTATGTTTAGTGTCTTTTTATATGTGGAATGTCAAGTTATATTTAATGTCAATTATATTTAATTTAATACATGCTGTGTTTTTGAAATATCATTCTTGCTTTTATTTTTACTTTATATTATTTGGTATGGTTTACTAGGTTTTTCCCCCCTCCAGAGCATTGGAAATGCACAATTTGTTTTCTTTGTCAGTGATTGTTAATTACTTACTTGCTGCTTGCCATCTTACTTTACAGAGACAGCATTCTGTAATCTAAAACAGAAGGAAGAGTGCTTTACAGTATTCAGTAAATCTGCATTGTTTTAGATGACTGTCTTCAGAACTAAATTCAATGATTATTCCTGTTGCTTTTCTCCAGGAAAATAAATGAGAGAGAGAAAAAGTTATTTAAGACACAATAACATGCCGTACAAATACTAATTCAGAAGGCAAACAACAAAAATCGGCGTTATATTTTAAAATTTTCACAGGACTAGTTTCGATGGTTTTACCAAAACACCATCGTCAGCTGCAAAAGCACAAATGAACGAGATAGGATATAATGATCAGACAAGATAGGAAAGCCTCGACAGAAAATAAGCTAGTGGCGCCATCTGTTGATGAAACCAGAACTAAAACATAATTTCTTTAAAGGGCGAAGGCAAAGATGGATTGGAATTATGATCGTTAACTAGAACAGAAAGATTTTTTTGAATGTGAAATGCCTCTAGGAAATCCAGTTCTCCAATGGAAGATGTTTTTTGAATAATTTTGGCAGCAAAAAAATTGAAAGTGATTTTTGGACCAACAATGTTGGGCAACAGAAGACTTCTGTGTTTCCTTTTTTCTAACATATGCCTCATGTTCCTTTACGCGAAATTTTAAGCCTCTCTTAGTTTGGCCAGTGTAAATTAAACCACACTGGCAAGGAATCCTGCAAATACCCCAGGAACTCATATCCGGAATGGGGTCTTTGAGTATGGAACTCGGAATTTTATTGTATGGAGAATAAACGACCCGAAAGTTAAAAGGCTTTTGAAAGAGTTATATCATACTGTTAGATCAATTAAATGCTTCTTAACCTATTTAAAAAAAAACTATTAAGAAGAAGTTAACTTATTGTTTATCATCTTTCAGCCTTATTTTTGAAACAGTGTTGAATTGAAAGTTTTAAGTGACACATGTTTGCCAACAGTTATATTATTTTCTTCTTTTATGGTTTCTTGATTGACTTGCATTTGGCAGACTAAGAAAGTTTGTCTACAGAATATGTGCAGTTATGGCATTCAAATAATTTGAAAGCCCACCAGCGGCTGAGCGGTAAAATCGCTGAACACTGGTAGTTCAGTCCGAGGTTCGAATCCCGCAAACAGGCTGGCTGCATGGGCATTTTCGTGGTTTTCCCCATGTGTAACATGTATACGAGCAATTTCCCTTAGAAATTCCTCCACAAAGGCATCCCCCCTTAGGCAGATAGCCCTAGTGTGCTTTGCCGTATTCGCAATACACCATACCCCACCAAATAATTTGAAAACTGCTTGACTGCACAAGTGTCTTTTTAAGTATATGTAACATTAAGTACTTATAAATTTATGAATTAGAACTTACTTGAAGTACTTTTTCCTTCACAGTTACATCTCCTCTACTTAGGAAAGTCACATTAATAAAGCACACATTAATAAAATTAGTTTAACTATACAGTTTAAGAGTTTCTTTAGTGCTCTATTGTTACTTCTCTGTTTTTCAATTTGCTCCACAATAGTCCACACTTAGACGCGAGTTGCCAAACTTTTATTATTAGAATTCAGTGTAAATAACCAGTTCATAAAAATGAAAATATTATAGGAAGTGATTCTGCTGAGCTGCCAAAGGCCAACGCTGAATATAAGATATTAAATATAAACAAATGTTATTAACACTTAAAAATAGCTCAAATTTAGATGATAAAAATAGTTATTTTCTAAGAATAAATTAAATATAGTGCTATTCTTTATATTTTTGCCAATTCTGAACTCAAGTCATATTCCTCCCCCTTTAAATATGCTTTTTTATGTTGCATGAGTCTTGCTTATAATTTGCAAGTTCACGTTGTGTAAAATTCAAATATATTTGTATAATTAAGATAGAATAACATGTCGAATAAGTATTAATTTCAAAGTCAAATAACAAAAATCAGCATTTTATTTATACAAAATATAATGCTGATTTTTGTTGTTTGACTTCTAAATTAATGTTTGTATGTTTAGGAATAAACAATATTAAATTTGAAAGGCTGTTGTATGTGATATCAATTCCCTCTTTTAATTAATGCAGAGTCACAATTTATTAATATCATTGCTGTTATTTTGTTTATTTGTATATTTTAAATGCATTAACATACCATAAGCTTATAGGATAAATGTATTTTTATAGGTGGATCGTAGCCCTACTGGATCTGGTGTAACAGCTCGCATAGCACTTCAATTTAAAAAAGGTTTAATAGCCTTAAATCAGCCAAGGGAATTCAAAAGCATTATTGATACATCTTTTACTGGCAAAGCAGTTTCAGAAACAAAATTTGGCAATTTTGATGCTGTGGTAGTTGAAGTCTGTGGCATGTCTTATCATATTGGAAAACATGTGTTTTACATGGAATCAAATGATCCTCTTAACTATGGTTTTTTGTTACCTAACTAACATATAACATTTACGTCAGACTGAACTTTCATTAATAAAATTTGATTGTGCCTTATATTGATTGAGAAATGAATTGCTTTAAAGTGTTTGATAAAAGACAAAAAAATTATTATAGATGTATTTTATACACTCCATATAGTTTTTGGCTTCATGTTTTTGACTTCATGTTCTACTTTCTCATGGTGGCATTCAAAAATAAATTTAGCATTTTCTTTATAAATCGTGTTCTAAGTAATTAAATAATTTTATTGATGTTATTAATATAAAATGCTGGAGGGTAGAGCTTCTCCTTGTAGGTTTGTGAGTATAACTTGCTTTCTGAATTCAATGCTGTAGTTAGGTCCTGATTAGGACAGTTTGCCTAATAATAATATGTCACTATGACCTTTTGCTCAGTTTTCTTTAGAGGTCCACAAACACATTTGCCTAATGTTTATGATTAAAAATAGAATTATTTGAGTCCTTTAAAATAAGTCCCTAGACATATTGGCTTAGGCAATAGATCCTCTCTGCAATAAATCATAGTAAATTTAGTACTTCCTCATTATTACGGCTCCCCATTTTTTTAAATGCTATGTTGGTGCCAGGATTAACACCTACCTTCCTGTTTACTTCTCACATATTAACATTAGATTATTATTTTTATTATGTGGATTATGTTAATTTTATTAATAGTTAAATTTTCAGTTAAAGTTCCTTTCCTGTCCCTTCTTAACTTCAACTTGCTACTTCCGCCCAGAACGTAGTTTTAGAATCACGTCTGAATTCATAATGAGGAAGACTGCGAAATTCTTCGGTCTTAATGAGAGTTACCAGGTATTCTGTCTGCACGCGTCCGCCTTTTTAGCTACTCTCTCGTAAGCTATTATTATGCTTGGTCATACTTTAGGCCCTTGATAGCTTTGCAGTATATTAATGTTAAGGGGCCAACTAGGTTAGAATTTTGATAGCTTCGGCTATATCTCTTTAGTTAAGATTAGTTTAGTATTATTCTTGGTCTCTTAAGTTCAAAGCCCTTTTGTTGGCTTTATTGTACACTCCAAGATGAAGTTTGTTAAACTTAAGTTGGAATAATAAAGGACTAGTTTACCCTTCTATCTTGTTGTTTCCTGTCACACGAACTCAAGCGATTATTCGCTTATCAGTTCTTAAGATTCTTCACGTTCAACAGTAACTCAGCATTACACTGTGAGGAATCCTACAATTTTATTACATGAATTGTTCAATTTGAAGTGATCAAAATGAACAGCAACACTTTTTATTTTGATGTTCTTTTTTTGTGGCTGTTTCATCCGAGCAATTTTGAACATATTCAGTGCATTAGTTGTACTTTGTGCAATGCTACCCCAATATGTGAGAGGTCCATAACTGGCACGTTTCTACCAAAGTGAATAAAGTAAGCATTATATAAATTAATTTTGACCTTAAAAGTTCTAATAATGGCAGAAATACATAAAATTACTAAACACTTATTAAGGTACAAAAAATAATAGTGAGGAATGCATTTTAAAATTAAACAAATTCAGCTGGGATATTAGTACTAATATTTATTCAAGCTTTACATAGCAAAAAGATTTACAATTCATGTTTGATATTTTCCATGAAATACTTTTGACTGGAAGACTCTGCTACTAAAAACCAAAACATTTCTTAATTTTTTATGAAAAAAGAAATGGTGAACATGCTCTTTCAAGCACAATAGTATTTGCTGACAGTGTCTTCATTATACAAACTAGAGTGATGAAATATTCATTTCCAACTTTTTTCCCTGTAAGCGAGATCACCATGTAACACGTTTTAAGACTGTTGAGATATGTATGCAAGAAAAAAGGAGTTGATTCGGTTTGAAAAGCTATACATGACACAAATTGCAGATTATGTCATAAAATAATTTATGTTTATGTTTTCTTTTTGCTTATTTAACAATTTAGATTCCTTGAACTTTAAGTAAGACATACAAGCTGTCATGTGATGTTAGGTTATTGCCTGATTAAAACTGATTTTAAGCTGCTTTTCTGAAGTTTTAATAAAATTATCATGAATCATTTTTATCAGCTAAATTTGACTAATATAATAGAACATTGATGTTTTGGATTTTATCTAGTGCAACATTAATAAGCTTTTAGAATTCCAACAAGGTTTTACTCCTTTAATAATTATGGTATAATTTATTATTCAACAGAGTCTTTGTCATCACAATCTTCTTCTTGATTTTCAAGTATTTTTAAGTGATATGACTAATTTTGTACAAATTATTACATAGAATGATATAAGGTTCGGCATTAACCTTATATCGCTACGTAGTATTATGCATTTTGGTATTCTTTTTAAATCAACTACTTTATTTGATTATTTCTGAAATATTTCTGATGACTTAACTCTTGTTTCGTAACAGATGTGGATATAGCAGTTTTTTGCCTGAGAAGCTTAAGATGATCAGTAAAACGTTTATAAATTATAAGAATGGGTCAATTTTCTTCAAGAACTAACTTCTTAATTATTCTATTGTGTGCTTTTTATTATCTAGTTCTTTTATTCATTCTGTAAACCTTACCATTGACAATAAATTTTGCAGTTGCTACATTCTGGAATAACCTTTCTAACTCATTTCTTTCTATGAGTAAAATCTTCACATTTTACTAATTCTAGAGGTGGACAAAAGCATTATTGTTAACTGATTACATTGCGACTGCTTTTTCGTTAAAATTGCTCAATTTCGATAACATTTTCAAGAAAATCAATTCCTCTTCCTTTAAAAATCGGTATCTATCTCTCCAAATTGTAAAACGAGAATGGAATTGTAAGACATCCGAAAAAAAATCAAAAGTTATCAGATAATGGTATATATTAGATTTGCGATTAATCATAATTGAAAATTCTCCGCAATGCTCGGAAATATCAATATCTGGCAATGCCCTCCTATATGTGTACTAAAATGTTTTACCATGATGAAAGGATAATAAGATGCCGCTCTGTCTCTTCAAATAAAAGTACATCTATATTTAGTTTTTTTTTTTTTTTTTTTTTTTTTTTGTGATCTGTTTTTCCCTTTGGAAAGGGCCTATTTCTGTGATATTCAGGAATGATGCTTAATTGCGTAAGGGAAAAAACATATACAAGCGAGTGAAGGGAATAAAATGGGCATAAAACCTGGAGTAAAACTAAATTTTTTCTTCTCGTTCATTTGTAGTTTGCTTGGATGTAATTGTTATAGAGGTAAAGAGAGAGCTGTTTTTCATTCGCTTATCGCGCCTTGCATTCGGAATTTTCCAAAGGGAAAAGATGAAATTGCACTAATGATACAGGTATGATCCAGAGCGTTCATTGAGCGATCCGAATTTAAACTTTTTCTGTTTCGCACGAAACAAAAATGTTAGAAATTTCGTGAAATTCTATTAAAGACATTTTTTCAATGGAAGTAAAGGTAGATAACAGCATATCGCATGCAAAATGAAATGCGCTAAAATTAAAAAAATTACAGGTTTTGCAGTCTTCAAAATTTTCAAAACACTTTCAAAAATTTGGATAATTGCCAAGCTGACCAGTATTAAACGAAAAAGTAACACCCCAGAATCCTTGCCATCCTTGAATTACATCAGAATTATTGTAGAATGCACAATTAAAAGATGCAGAGAGGAAGTTGCTGAAGGTGTCATTCAAAAACTTCAAGATGTTTCCTCCCGCTCATCTTCTAACGTGGGCCGAACCAGTTTGACACAGTATAGAATCGGTACAGTCGTTCATACACCAATTAAGCAGCATCCAATACGTCTACCGATTGCTAAACAGGAAGAGGTACGAACCTTTTAAAGGACATGCAAAGAAATTCGAATCGGATGATGGGAAGACTTTCCGATGGCAACTGATACATCCAAGATCCCGGATTTCTGATGTCCTTAAAAACTACAAAACTGCCCTACAGGTGGTTACTTCGGAATAATGAAGACCTTGTAAAGAGTTCGTGAGTGCTTCTACTGGAATAATGCGCAGGATGACGTGCAAAAGTGGTACCGATCTTGCGATGCCTGTGCAGGTCGGAAAGGACCGAAGTAACGCAGCCGAAGCAAGCTACAACGTTACATTGTAGGAGCACATATTGAGTGTATCACCTTTGACATCTTGGGACCTCTGCCACGAACTGCTGCTGGCAACAAATACATCCTCGCTGTCATTGATTACTTCACCAAGTGGCCTGAAGCATATCCTATCCCTGATCAAGAGGCTGTCACAGTAGTAGAAGTAATGATACTGCCCTGGATTTCCAGATTCGGAGTGCCTCTTCAGTTACATTCCGATCAGAAAAGGAATTTTACCTCGGCTGTAATTAAAGAACTCTGCAAGCTTTTCGGCATTGACAAAACCCAAATGTCACCTTTACATCCTCAGTCGAACGGCATGGTAGAGAGGTTTAATCGAACCATTCTTAATAACCCCTCATTTGTGATTTCCAGAAACAGGACTATAACAAGAATTTAACACTCTTTCCACTGGCTTACCGCAGTTCTCTCCACGAGACTACCAGCTATTCCCCATCTCAGATGCTCTTGTCTGCCTTGTGATCTCATGTTTCGTCGCCCTCCGAATGCACCTTTGTCGCCTCAGGAATACATCTAAAATTACCAGGCCCATTTGGAAGTGATGCACAATTTTGCACGAGAGCGAGTCAACTTGGCGACGGAGAAGATGAAGACCCGATATCACAAGAGAGCTACTGGGCATCGATTCAACGAAGGAGACAAGGTGTGGTTGTGGAAACCGACTCGACGGAAAAGACTCCGAAACTACACACACCTTGGGACGGTCCGTACAAACAGACTGAACGACGTCGTGGTTCGTATCCGTAAGTCATAGAACTTTAAGCCTAAAGTCGTTCATTACGACAGGCTAGCTCCTTACTATGGCCATAGTACGTAGTGCATATAATTCTAAATAGTATAAAACCATGGTCCTTTCTGCTTCTAAATTTGTATTTTATTTGACTAGTATTTAGTGTTTGATAGTATTTGATTTGTTTAAAGTTACATATTGCAGTTATAGTTTATATGGTTTGTCATT